CCCCCCCCCCCAATTAATCAAAATCAGAAAACTTCCTCTTTTTGGTCTGTAAACACACCAAAAAACATGTTTTTGTAAAAATCTGTTAACGGTAATAGACTAGGCTTCAGAAGGAAAAAGATTCTTAGGGTTAGGGTTAAGCCAACTGTTGTCCTTACTTTCTTTATAAAAGCATAATATTTTGATTATTCCAGTTATCCTAATGTCATCTGTAACATTTATTTCCTATTTGGAAACATAGACTTAAAGGGGACCTATTAACCAAATTTACATTTTATTCTTCCATTTTGGTCCCAAAAACAGCCAAAGCACTTAAAAATGACCCCCAGCTGTGTTTTAGGAACAAGTTAATGTTTTTTAGTGTCTGGAAAAGGAACCAATTCAAAAACCTCTCAAATATGATGGCCGCTGTGCCTAGCAACCCCAGCCAAGCCCAGCGCATCACCTAACAACCCAAACAAAATTCAATCATGTTTGGTTTTACCACTTTATGTGATGTACAATGACTGCTGGAAAAGACTAATGTTTTGTTGGTTGTGCAGGATGCTCCACTTCTGCTTTTCTAAGAGGTATTGTTGTATAATTGCGCATTTGTTAGCAGCCGTTTTTATGTGCAAGTGTAAACCTTGAGTTGGGGAGCGCAGCCAGCAGCAGTTTATTCGGATTTAAAGTGACAAGAGGCTCTAAAACGACTCATTCTAATAAGAGCTCAAAACAGACAGAACTGACTAAACTAAAATCTTATAATCTAGGAATTATTTTGTCTAACGAACGTGTTTTGTATAGCCCATAGGCCTCAAGATAAATATTTGTCAAATAACCTTAATTTTTATCCACATAATTTTCCCAGATAAAAGTGTTGACTCTCTTCACAGTCATGATGTAGTGTGTTTACTCTACCACTAGGAGGCACAGCAGAGCTCCCTGCTGGACATGGAGATGGCCGACTACGAACGTCTGGTGAAAGAACTCAATGGAAAACTAACAGAGAAAGAGGAGTGTGTGGAGGAACTGAAATTCCAGATTAACACACTGAACCAGACGCAGGAGACCCACAAGCAGGAAATCGGTATGATTCACATGCTTATTTGTAATTATTAATGTATTTTGTATTTTATTTTTTGGCCTTAAAAGGTTAAGGCTGTGGCTACTACACACATATTTTTTTTTATAATAGCTTTGCGCATTATTCTGATTTTTTGGAGTTTTTATTAACTGTAAGCAGGGCCTGATTTAAAAGGATGTGGGACCCTGGGCTGGAGTTAGTTTAGGTGCCCTATCCTCTAATGAAAAATTATTCTACTAATGCAAATTACAGTATATTAGTAGGTAATCCTATACATCAGTGGGTATGAACTGATGCATGGTAAGTTTAATATGTCCCCTTGCCAGTAATTCCACGTTTTCCCCCCAAAGAATTTGCTACGACTTTATTTTCTGTATTTTATTTTATGTTCATATAAATCCAAAAATATGCATACAACTCCATTAATATAGGTTTGTTAGCTTTATAGAAATTACAAAATAGGCGTTTGTTAAAAAAATGAACAGAAAACATGTAGTGCCCACATAAAATCTGATTACCCTAAAGTAAACGCCTAAAATTAATTATTATTTGCATAATGAATCTACTTGAGTTTCACTTTTCGAATTGGATTTCTGAAGTAAATAAACTTTTTGATGCTATTCTAATTTGGGCACAGAAATGTCTTTATAAATAGTAAACATACTCAATAGTAATATTCAGCTTACATGCAACTGTAGTGTGTTTAGATTTGAAATATTTTTTAATTTTATAGCTTAGCACGCTTTCTGTTTTGACTTGCTGTTAATGTCTGCTCTCGTCTCATGTCTCTGCGTGTCTCCAGAGGCTTTGAAGTCTCAGCTGGACCAGGAGGAGGAGAAAACCATGAAGATGAAACAGCTGCTGGTGAAAACCAAGAAAGATTTGGCAGATGCCATGAAACAGGTCTGTGTGTGTTTCTGTTGGCAAATCCCCAAAGATTTCCTGTTACTGTGCAACACGGACATCTGATGAATGTAAATAGAGCGATGCGGCCATGTGTAAGCATGGCTGGTGAAGGCCTGGGAAGATGTTGGGAAGAGTTACTAATGTGTCATCTGCGTGTGTTCATGCATGCAGGAAAGCTCCCTCATGATGCAGCAGGCGTCTCTGAAAGGAGAGCTGGAAGCTAACCAGCAGCAGCTAGAAAGCTCCAAGGTAACACAAAAAAAACCCTTTCTGGTAGCGCTGGACAATAAATCAATAACAACATATATTGAGATAAACACGTGATAAATATCAATGGATAATATGTCTGATAGAATATTCAATGTATAGAATATTCACTGTACTCTGATTCAGAACCGCACAGCATTCTGGGGGATGTAGGCAAAGGAAAAGCTTTGACCACTCAACATCTCACGGCTGCACTGCAAAAACACAAAATCTTGCCAAGTATTTTAGTCTAGTTTCTAATGCACTTGAAATAAGACAAAGTAGCTTTTCAGCAAGAAATATAAGCTTGTTTTAAGTCAATAATTCCTGAATATTTTTGAAACAATACTTATTACGTTTTCAGATTATTTCACTTATTACATGGGGAAAACGTCTCGTTACAAGTGAAATGATCTGCCAATGGAATAAGTAGTTTTTATCAATATTAAGGAATTATTGACTTAAAACAAGCTCTTTTGTCTTGCTGAGATGTTATTTATATGTTTGTATTATCTTATTTCAAGTGTATTCAGATATTTGCACTAGAAACTGGATAAAAAATACTTGGTAAAAATGTTATGTTTTTGCACTGTGGCTATCCAGTGTTGGTGGAAGCAACTAACTCCCTCACTTTTTGGTTACCTAGCAACTCACTCACTTTTTGGTTACCTAGCAACAGCCTGCTGGGTAAATTCTGCAGTAATTATTTGCTTAAAAAGAAACGACAATGGCGTGGAGAGGAAACTGGATAAAACGTGAAATGTTTGGCAGCATTTCACATTATTTAAGTTAAGCCAAGTTTATTTGTGAAGCACATTTCAACAGCAAGGCAGTTCAAAGTGCTTTACATAATAAAAGCACAAAATTTCAAAGTTATAATGAAAACACCATACAGTCAATAATTAATTATATTTTGATGAGTGCCATCACCAAAATCAGACATACCAAATATGTTGTTCAGTTTTTCATTTGTTATGGTTCAACTCTAAACCGGTGGGTTTTTTTGTCTTGATTTAAAGGTTCTGTTTCTGGGGATGCAGATCAGATGTAGGGACTTTAAAACTGGGGGGGATGTGCTCTAAAAAAGCAAAAAACTAATCAATAATCATTGATATCGACTGATATAAAATGCTTATATTGTGATATGTTTTTCAGTCTTATTGTCCAGTCCTACTTTCTGGTTTTCATCTTGATTCAAATGTAAAAAGCAAATCAAGATTTTGTTCCAGCACTTGTTCTCTAAAACGTGTGTGTTGTTGACTTCAGATTGAGATGTGTGAGCTGACAGCCGAGCGGCACCGCCTGCAGGAGCAGCTGAAGTCCGCTTTGGAGCAGCAGCAGAAGACCAGCAGCTCCCTGCAGCAGCGCATCCACAGCCTGCAGCAGGACAGAGACACTGCAAAGGTTCTCATCCTTAACTACCTCACTTTTAGCTCTGTTCTCAGGTTTAATTCACAGAAAAAGAAGGTGAGAAGTAATGCTTTCTTCAGCAAGAGCATAACAGTTTTAACAAATGAACTGAGCTCCTGCTCACGAGAAACGATTGATAAATGAGGCTAAAAGTAATGACTCTTTTCATAATTTATCTCTCAATTATTTTTAATTACCTCTATCTACAATGTCAGGCGTGTTTCAGTCAGACATTCATCATGTTTAAATGCTCAGCTGATAGCAGCCTGTTTGTAAGACCCACAATTAGCAATGGAAATAGTTTGAAAGCTAATTTTTACATGGAGTTCTGATGAGTAAATCCATAATTTTCCAGATAGCAATCAATTCCAGTTGGTGGCAGCATATTTTACTGTGTTGATCCCCAAAGGTCTGGGTGGATTGGTTTGTCCCAGCGTTGCACATAACAAAAATTAAAAATTAAGTAATAATAATAAATAATAAAACATATCGCTCAGTATATTCCTAAAAATATATTCAGCATTTAAAACTGCAGCTCCAGCTTCATCTTTTAACAGATTAAATTGGGTAACCATCACCCTTTGTAAACATGAAACACTTTTTTTTGTGTGCATATCTTTACTGAATCTGTTTGTTGGTTTCAGGCTGAGCTTATGGCAACAACAAGCGAGTTTGAGAGCTACAAGGTTCGAGTTCACAACGTGCTCAAGCAGCAGAAGAGTAAAACCAGCGCCCAGCCTGAAGGAGTCTCTGGGAAACTAGAGAGGTGAGAGCAAAATGAGGGAAGATGCAATCAGAAAACTGCTTCCTGTTAAATGCCTGTAACATTTAACAGGAAGGTTAAGAAGGATAAACTTCTGCTCAGTGGTTTTAAAATGAAACGGCAGGTCAAACGGTGAGGCACAAGCTTTCATCCTAAATTTGAGGCTGTTTGTATTCATAATAGATGTACATTGTGGGAATAGTTTGAGATTAATCTGTTTGTCGCAATAAATCAATTAATTGCATGATAAGTTAAAACACGCTCAATAATTTCCAGCTGCATGATTTATCGTTTTTCTACTAAAAACTGGATGACAAAATTTTCAGTTTGATGCTCTGGTCTCAACTAATTTTGTTTACATAGCCTTCAGAATGCATTTTACTTGTTGTCTCTGTTGTTTTTTTGTTTTTTGGGGGTATCTAAAATGTCTTCCAGTTCCAGTGTTAAATGTTCACTAGATTTATTATATGTGTGTCCTGGTGGTCTGCAGGGAGCAGTTGTCCTCTCAGGTTGAACAGCTGCGGAGCCGCCTGTCTGAGAGCCAGCAGAGCATCCAGAGCAGCGTCTCCGAGCTGCAGCAGCTCCAGGCTGAGCACGACACTCTGCTGGAGAGGCACAACAAAATCCTGCAGGAAAACATCGCCAAAGAGGCTGAGCTGCGAGAGAGGTGAAATGTTTTGGTTTTTCATTCTACATCTGCTGAGGTTTGTGTGCTCATCAGGTTGACATATTGTCTAATTTTTCCCCTCTCTGTTGTTTGTCTGTACAGAAGTATGCATGCCGTTTCACATTGCAAGCAAAATATTCAATGTATTCTTTAGGGGTTTTATGTTACGGTAGTTTTAAAATCACGATCTGAAACGTGCGGTGTGCACATTCACAACCAAAAACCTTTAGAATCCACCATGTTAGTATATAATTTCAGTATTAAACAATTAAATTCACCCTTCATCGTCCAGAATTGTAAGTAACGTGGCTCAACGGCAAAATTACAGAGACTTTCCGATCTACCTGAACAGACAGGAATAATCAAAAAAGCTGCCAAGAGACCTACGGTAACTCTTGAGGAGCTGCAGAGATTCACAGCTCAGGTGGAAGAATCTGTCAAAGACAACTAGTAGTCCTCAGTGATGTAATAAATCCTGTTTTCCTCAAGCCATATGGAAAAAAGAGATGTCCAAACTTTTTGTACATCGGCCAAAATTGCTGAGTCGAAAGTAGTGGTGGGCCAAAAACCCGAAATAAAGCCAATAAAGTAGTCCCATTTCTTTTTTCTTTTTTTTAATGGATACTTATTGTAGATCCAAAACTTGAAAAGGATTCTTTCAATGGCCATTGTAAATTAAAAGCAAAAAAAAGTTGTAGATTTTTGGCAAAAGTTCTGGAAAAAACTGGGAAAATTTCTGAGTTTGAAAAGTTAAAAATTTGCTAGAAAAAAAATCAGAAATGTTGAGATTAATCTCAGAAATTCTCTGGAAAAAAATGGCAAAAACCTGGGACTTTTAGAGTTTCAAAAGCTCAACATTTCTGAGTTTTGCTGCAGAAAGGTTGAGAGATTGCTTTCAAAATTTCAGAGTTTTTGTGATGGAAATTTATTCTTCATTTTTTTCCTCTTCTCTACAGAGGCCCTAATACGTCGCTGTAGTTTTTTTCACTTTTGCTGTATTTAAAGAAAAGCATCTAGTTTTCAGATTCTTTTGGGCTCGATTGAACACATTTATTTTCAGTATTAAGAACTTTTTAAAGAAAAACTCTTTATATATTTAGTCAAGTTTAATAAACTAAAACAAAGCTGATTTGGGTGCATTAGTCGCCTTTTCAGTAAAAGTCTCTGAATAACATGGTTTTACCTTTTGTTTAAAACTTGGTTATAAAAACAAACTTTTTGTGTTGTACTTTACATTTTCTATTGTAAGAAAATTATATCTGTAATAATTTCACCCATATTACAAATTAAAAGAGTCCATCTGCATATATCAACCAATTTTGCATCATTTGGCCTCACAAAATCAGTCCAAGGGCCACAAATGGCCCTCGGGCCACACTTTGGACACCCCTGTTGTAGAGAGGAAACCGCAAACATCTGGATGAAGATACTTTTGCCAAATGAAACAAACATTAAATAGGATTTATAGAGAAACACCAATACTTCAAATCACCCTCAGCACAACATCCCCACAGTGAAACATAATGGTGGCAGCATCATGCTGTGGGTTAAGAGTTAAGCTACTTTATGTTGCTCTGTCACATAGAATCCCAATAAAATCCATTCAATGCTTGGAAAGGCAAAGTACAAATGCCTAATCAAACTTGAGGAACTTTCCAGATTCCTAACTTCCTGTTTCCCTCTGACCCGTCCTGCAGGGTTTTGACGTTGCAGACAGAGAACGTGTCGTTAAGGTCAGAGGTGACCCAGGCTCAGGCCGACCTGTCGTCCCAGGTGGAGGCCCAGCGGCAGACCTACAGGGAGCAGCTGAGGAAGCTGCAGGACGACCACCGGGCCACCGTAGAGACGCTGCAGGGTCAGCTGAGCCGCGTCGAGGAGCAGCTCTTTAACCTGCAGAGCCAGAACAGTAAGCTCAGTTAAAAGCACCTTAAACAGGCGAAATGTAACAAGTGGGTATCTTACACATGAAATCAGATATTTACATACACTGTAAAACTAAGAAAAATAATTAAAGATTCAGACAGGTGCTTGAAATTCTTGAAAATGCTTGAATTTGAATTGTGTTTTCAAGGTTTGGAAAAGGTTTGATATTAAAACTGAATAGTTTTGTTACAAAGTTCAATCTAACATTTGATTAAAAGTTGAAATTTAGAAAACATAATTTACAGTTGAAACCAGACATTTACATACACCTAAAAACTTACCTTCTTTTAGTTAGTGAGAATTAATAAAATTTTACTTCTAGAACATTTTTAAAATATTTCTTTTATTTTACTTTCTTTGAATTCTTTGCTTTTAATTTGCGCAGGAAGATAATTTATCTTCACACAATTTCTTTGGACTATTTCAATGTAATGAATATTTATTATTCCTAATGGCCCACTGACTTATTGATCATCTTATATTTTATACCTTAAACGTTATTGAAATTCAGGGATTTTTTTGTTAAATTAGTTTTTATCTCTCGAACCAGTCAGGTGTGTGAGACATTTCAAAACATTTGTTATATTTTAGCTTTACACACAAGACATTAATAAGTCATACATAATATCATATAACAGTGAATTAAAACTGTTCTTTTTTTATTTTCTTTATCTAAAAAGTGTGGTGCTGGAAAAGTTTGAAAACTTTGAAAAATGTTTGAATTTTACTGAAGGAGAACTGTGGAAACCCAGTTTTGTCTTTCACCGGCTGACGTTAAATGAGACAAAACATTTGCTGCTTTAGGATCGCCGAAGGAGATCCTTTGAAGCAGCAAGTGGTGTATAGAGTAGAAGTTTTCTGTCTTGTTTCCTCCTCCGCTTCATGAGAGGAGTGATGGGACACAGAGAGCTCACAGGGGTGAAGATATCGGCGTGTTTATCAGCAGAGCTCATTCATCACATCCCACACAGCTGCCCTCTGCAGTGAAACACCAAATACACACACCAACGACTTGGAAAGGCGAGCGTGTGGATGTGTGCTGCTTCTCTGTCACTTCAACTTAGCCAGGTGTTGGCGAGGCGCCGCGGCTCTGTTCCCGCCTCGCAGTGTGGCAAACAGGCCCCTGTGGCATCTGGAGAGGCTCCTCATTAGTGTCTCACACATAAAAGACCCCCGTTTTTTAGGGCGCGTTTGGCTTATCTCACCACGTATTTCTGAATTTAATTGCATGGATTGAGTCAGCTTGTGTTTGTTTTACTGGTACAATCAAGCAGATTGATTATTTACTGTAATCAAACTGTAAGTCGCATGTACCACACATTAAAATCTATCCATATCTCTCCTTTATTTATTCTGTCTATGAACCAGGTGAAGGCTGCTGATTGGATAATATTTTGCTTCAAACTTGAGTTCTTGTTCCCTCATATATATATCTATATATATCTATATATATATATCTATATATATATATATATATATATATAT